AAAGCTTTTGCACACAGAAGTTTTACGCACAGAAAGCTTGTACACAGAGAAGCATTTACACAGAGAAGTTTTTACACACAGCAAACTTTTACACACACAGAAGCTTTACACACAGCCAGCTTTTACACAGAGAAGCCCTTTCACAGAGAAGCATTTACACAGAGAAGCTTTTACACAGAGAAGATTTTACACACAGCAAGCTTTTAAACTGAGAAAATCTGCTGACAAATCACTATCGCACACAGCCGCAGCTCCAAGCAACCTTGACGCAGCCATTATCATTACAATGCTATCTGCAGAGACCGAGTTGCAAAACACAATAGAACTACGCGCAACGGCGTCAGAAATTGCAGCTCCAAAACCGGATCTCGACAAAGCACAAAAAAAATATGATTTTGAAGCACTTTTTACAAGGAATTTTTAACGGGAAATCACCAGTGCCAAAATTGAGAAATTCTGCTAACAGATGACTATCACTATCGGAGCCTTGGCACCCACTCCAACCCGATGTACGATGTCCAGCTGCAAAAGACAATAGTATTACGCACGCAGCCGCCGCGCCAAGCAACCTTGATGCAGCCATTACAATGCGAGACTTCCCTCAAATTCCGACAGTTAAAGATGTCAAAACGAAGCTTTCGTGCGAGACTTTCACGATCCGCCCCTAAACGAAGGTGTTCCGCAACAGCCCGCCGGACAAGCTTCCCCATCCATCTTCCGGGACACGTTTTGTCCTGCAAAACACAGCATTTCGTGAATCCGCTCTCTCTCAAAAACGCATTTCGTGCGAGACTTCCCTCAAAATCTGAAAGTGGAAGATGTGAAAACGAAGCTTTCGTGCGAGATTGTGATAGTGATGTTGTGATAGTGGTGATATTGTGACAGTGGCGGTATTTTGGTGATGTTGTGATAGCGGTGATGTTGCGATAGTGGTGATAGTGTGATAATGGTGATATTGTGGTGATATTGTGATAGTGGTGATATTGTGATAGTGGTGATATTGTGATAGTGGTGATGTTGTGATAGTGGTGATGTTGTGATAATGATGACATTGCGATAGTGGTGATATCGTGATAGTGGTGATGTTCTGATAATGGTGATATTGTGAAATTGGTGATACTGTGAAAGTGGTGATGTTGTGATAGCGGCGATAGTGTGATATTTCTAGTAGTTGTGACTTGAAAAATCCGTTACACGGAAGTTAGACTTTCAAACTTCCTGTGGCAACAACAACAGCAACGACAACAACAACTACTACTACTACTACCACCACCACCACAACCACAACCACAACCACAACCACTACCACTACCACTACCACACTACTACTACTACTACTACTACTACTACTGCTGCTGCTGCTGCTGCTGCTGCTGCTACTGCTACAATTACTACTACTACTACTACTATTATTATTATTATTACTGCTACTACCACCACCACCACAGCTACAACAACAATATCAACTACACCACATTACACTACACTGCTCTAATTACACTGCAGCACACCACAACTACAAACGCAATTGCAACTACAACTACAATTACACAACACTACACTACAGTACGCTAATTACAGTACATTACGCTACAACTATAACTGTAATTGCTGTCGCAACTTCAATTGTAACTACCACTACATTGCCCTACACAACACTACGCTAATTACACAACACCACACTACACTACACTATACCGCACCGCAGTACACAACACTACAGGACACTACACAACACTACGCTAATTACACAACACCACACTACACTACACTATACCGCACTGCAGTACACAACACTACTGGACACTACAATACACTACGCGAATTACACCACACCACAGCTACAACTTCAACTCCACTACACCATACTACAACTGCAACTACAACTGCACCACACCACACTACATCCAGCAGTTGTGGGTGAGGTGACCACTGCAACCATTGCAACCACTCCAAAAAACACAACTTCAACCATCTTTCGGTCCATCAGTGGACCGGATTCGCTCTGCCATCCGTGATTCACAACAACCAGCCTCTCCTATAGGTTTCCTATTTTTGAACCTTCCGCCACCGCCTTGTGTGGTACTACTGGTATGATATATCTTCTAGATGGGTAGATAGGGTTATAATCCAACTTATAACTGGGGGTATCCTTTCTGTAAGGCTGTAGGGTTAACGGCATTGATAGAATCCAAATATAAATCCACTAGTGAATCTCGTGAATGTGTGGGAAATACACCATTTTCAGATATTTTCAGACACACAAAAAAAAAATGACGGTTTCCTGCACCTCTTAGTCAGGATGGAGCACCCCCTTTCAGTGATGTGATGATTTGGGGGCCAGGCCCCAGATTGTCCGCGAAAAACAAACTGATTAAACTTGCATGAGGGCTTGGACATCAAGTTGGCATTACTTTGCATATCGTATACACAGGCTGTTGATTCAGGTAGAATGCCTTTATATTTTAGTACAGAGACACCTCCTAATTTTAATACGGGAACCTCTTTTTTGCGCCATATCCAGAGGGAAAATCATCAAACGCGGGACCCCCTTTTCGGATTCCCTAGCCTTTGGCAATCACCAGCTTCACGGGCTGCACCCTCTGCACCGGCTTCTCCACAACTTCTCCTGGCACAAATTTACAACCGAGAGATGGAAGCTCCGAAACTTGCATCGTAGAAGCCAAACTTCAGACCAATCATTGGCTGCCAAACTAGCTTGGTAAAACAGGCGGTATTGTCTCACTGGAACTGACCACTGGGAAGAGGAGATTCATCATGATGCATTCATGACCAAACAACCACTATGGCTACTGACAGGCAAAATCCATCAAATCCAATCTCCATCATCTCAGAAATCACTTGTTCCCAAAAAAGTCGCCGCCCCCTGGAGTCATGGAACTCCTAGATGCTCAGCAAAGAAACTTTTTATTCCGTTGTTACTGCAATAATTAGCCCCTGTTGATGCATCAAAAATGACTCAAAAGTAACCTATCTATTGTACGAATTTGTCAAAAAAAATCTGGTATCCCCGAATCCCCTGTTCAATCATCATTGTCCCTATTGACATTTGCCAGTTTCGCACATTTTTGGCGGGGCATACCACATTTCAGATACACCCAAAATTCATATTGTTATATAGTTAGATACCCATGATCTCCCTAGTTTTGGTTGCTAAGAGCAGTTGGAAAACCCCATGAATGTGGATAAAACAATGCCATGTTTACCACCCATGACTGGGAAAGTTTTTGTTTTTTCCGTCATAAAAATGGTGATTTTCCTGGGGAGATGGTGCAAATGGCATTGTGAAAAACCCACATTAAGCCACATTTTACCAACATATTTTCCCCACGATTCCCCTATTGTTTGGATGAAGTCCCCAGTGCCTGGACTGCCACGGCTCGATGACGAACTGCTGGAATATGAACTGCTGGATGCCCTATCCTGTCAAATCAGATTTAAGTAGCACTTGGGATCTAACGTGATTTAACCAGAAAAATATGGAAATCATGTGGTTTAACCGTTTAACCATCAAATGTTGCAATTTAACTATGATTTAACAAGTAAAAAATGTGGATTTACAGGCATAGTAACAGTGTACATATATACATATATATATATATAACGAAGAATATGCTATTGGGAACTATCGGGTTTGTCGGAAATTTATACAACCAAATGCAAAGAAAATCCTGGTGAGGATCAGGATGAGTAAAATGAGGACAATGAATATGTGTACATATGCATATATATATATTAATTATTTATATGTACATTATAAAAATTATAAGCTGAAAATGCTGGTGGGACCATTTTCGCCATCAGTGGATCAACTGTAGAAATGCTATGAAATGGCTTGTGGGTCAACTTGTCAACTCCGTGACCCCCAACGAGGTTCAGTCAGAGCTGATCTGATCACTGCATTGACACAATTCCTCCAGTAATTGCTGGTGACATCAGTGACATCCCAAGGTTTGTGCCAAGGTTTGTGGGTAGCAATTTACAGTACATATTCTCGAGATGACCCATTTCAACAGGCCCTTCCTCGCTTTTCCATGAAAAACATCCCACATATTTAGTCCGTGACCCCACCCCATGTCCACAAACTGAAATTCTGGTTTGCTTGCCCGACCCCACACCAAGAAAACATGAACTGTTCGTTTGATCGGTTTCCATGTTGCAAACCGTAACAAATTACCAGAGGGCATATGTTCCAATACATTCCATAGTAGGGCCATGATGTCTAATAGGGCCACTATCATGTGGCTGCGAACATTTTACTCCTTGGCTGCCCATTTTGTTGGGGAATATGGATACAACATGATACAACCATGGCTCCGAATCGTTCCCTCTCAACCACCGGATAGGCTGGCTGCGGTAAACCCAATAATAAACCATCAACCAAGGTTCACCCCACTAGATGTTTGTCTGTGGTAAACCCACTCATTACTATTCAACCCATAACATTGGACCGTCTTTTTGTGCTTTAATCCAAAGATATCCAAAGTATTTTAAGGGATTATATAATCCACATTAATCCACATTAAAACATCGATACATAGCTCTCCTGGCCGCGAGCGGAGGTTTTTTCTGGCACCGACGGCGCCACCTTCGTGGCTTCAGCGAAGTCAGTCAAACATGTAGTCATCCATTCACTCAACCATTCATTGATTCACTTCACTGAAAACTTCACCGAAAACTTCACTTCACTTCATGCTCATTGCATTCCATGACCTTTCCCGTCCTTTCATGTTATGTCATGTGTGTTCATTCATTCAGTCGGTAATTCATTCATTCATTAATTCATTCATGCATTTCATTTCACGTCATGTCATGTCATTTCATTCATTGATTATTTATTGCGTTTTTTAATTCATTCATGTTTTCGATCATTCATTTATTTCATTCATGTCATGCATTCATTAATTATTTCTTTCTTTGTTTTTTTTCATTTCTTCATTCATTCTTAATTATTTAATTCTTTCACTATTTCATTTGTTCATTATCTCATTCATTGCATTCTTTCGTTCAAGTCATTCATTTCATTATGTCATTCATTTAATTCATTTCATTCATTTCATTCAGTTCATTCAGTTCATTCATTTCATTTCATTTCATTTCATTTCATTCATTTCATGTCATGTCATGTCATGTCATTTCATTCATTTCATTCATTTCATTCATTTCATTTCATGTCTTTCATGTCATGTCATGACATGTCATTTCATTCATTCACTCATTTATTCATTCATTCATTCATTTGTGTCCTGGTTCTTTCGTGTCAATAATTTCGTTCACTCTGATGTTATTTCATTGGTATTTCACAAACCATTTGCTCAATCATTGATGCACCTCGCAACCTCAATCTGTATTCCTATAGGCCATTGATGTCTTTTAGGCATTTCCTTTTTGCGACACAGCCGGGCTCTACTGGTACCTCAATCTTCAAACTTGCCTGGCGCTTCTCTACCCTTCGCTCCTTTGCAAGGTCCGCCAAGGTCAATTCTTCAGCCTGGTCGTGGAAAGGGACCCTCAACAAGTGCTGCAGCATGGCAACCTCCATGAAAACCAGGTAAACATTCGAGACATGTAGAACCAACACCATCTATACAAATCTATACAATACCTGTATCTTGATGCCTGCCTGCCGCTTCTCCACCCTTTGCTCCTTCGCAAGGTCCGCCAAGGTCAATTCTTTAGCCTGGTCGTGGAAAGGGGCCCTCAACAGCCAGTGCTGCAACATGGCAACCTTCACAAAAACCAGGTACGCATCCTGCCTGGCCCTTCTCCACCCTTTGCTCCTTCGCAAGGTCCGCCAAAGTCAATTCTTTAGCCTGGTCGTGGAAAGGGCCCCTCAACAACAAGTCCTGCAACATGGCAACCTTCACAAAAACCAGGTACGCATCCTGCCTGGCCCTTCTCCACCCTTTGCTCCTTCGCAAGGTCCGCCAAAGTCAATTCTTTAGCCTGGTCGTGGAAAGGGCCCCTCAACAACAAGTCCTGCAACATGGCAACCTTCACAAGAATCATGTACGCATCCTGCCTGTCCCTTCTCCACCCTTTGCTCCTTCGCAAGGTCCGCCAAAGTCAATTCTTTAGCCTGGTCGTGGAAAGGGCCCCTCAACAACAAGTCCTGCAACATGGCAACCTTCACAAGAATCATGTACGCATCCTGCCTGGCCCTTCTCCACCCTTTGCTCCTTCGCAAGGTCCGCCAAAGTCAATTCTTTAGCCTGGTCGTGGAAAGGGCCCCTCAACAATAAGTCCTGCAACATGGCAACCTTCACAAGAATCAGGTACGCATCCTGCCTGGCCCTTCTCCACCCTTTGCTCCTTCGCAAGGTCCGCCAAAGTCAATTCTTTAGCCTGGTCGTGGAAAGGGCCCCTCAACAATAAGTCCTGCAACATGGCAACCTTCACAAGAATCATGTACGCATCCTGCCTGGCCCTTCTCCACCCTTTGCTCCTTCGCAAGGTCCGCCAAAGTCAATTCTTTAGCCTGGTCGTGGAAAGGGCTCCTCAACAACAAGTCCTGCAACATGGCAACCTTCATAAAAACCAGGTACGCATCCTGCCTGGCCCTTCTCCACCCTTTGCTCCTTCGCAAGGTCCGCCAAAGTCAATTCTTTAGCCTGGTCGTGGAAAGGGCTCCTCAACAACAAGTCCTGCAACATGGCAACCTTCATAAAAACCAGGTACGCATCCTGCCTGGCCCTTCTCCACCCTTTGCTCCTTCGCAAGGTCCGCCAAAGTCAATTCTTTAGCCTGGTCGTGGAAAGGGCCCCTCAACAACAAGTCCTGCAACATGGCAACCTTCACAAGAATCAGGTATGCATTGGAGACGTGTTGGAACAAATACCATCTATACAGTCTATACATATCTATACAATACCTGCAGAATCCGCAAAGCTGCCCACATGCAGCCACTATATAGAATCCAGGAGCACAGGAAGTCATATCTTTGCCCAAGGACATGTCTTCAGCCTGGTCAACATTCCACCCCTCACAAAATTAGGTACGCATGTGAGAATTGCCGGAACCAATACTATCCATTCAATACCTGCATCTTGACGCCTGCCTGGGGCTCCTCTACCCTTTGCTGCTGTGGCTTTCTTTGCAAAATAAGCTCGACTAGGGACATGTCTTCAGCCTGGTCGCGGAAAGCATTCCTCCACACCAAGCCCTACAACTCTGCCACCTTCATTTAAAAAGAAAACAATACCATCCAATACCTGAATCTTGACGCTGCCTCGGGCTGCTCAACCCTTTGCTCCTTCGCAAGGTCGGCCAAGGTCAATTCTTTAGCCTGGTCGTGGAAAGGGGCCCTCAACAAGTCTATGACAAGCAGTCCTGCAACCTCCTGCAACACTGCAACCTTCACAAAATCAAGTACGCGTTCAAAGTGTGTTAGAACCCCAATAGCTGCATCTTGACGTCCGCCTGGTGCTGTTCTACCTCTTGCTCTTTCGGCATACTTTGTGCCGCGAGGTCGGTTACAGCGGCATCATCACTGTCTGTCGAGGAAGAGGAGCTGCTACTGGAGCCACCTGGGACTTTTGTTGCATCAGATCGTATCAGATCTCATCAGATCTCAGATCTCCGTCATGTAGAGCGATTCAACACCAGGGCATGAGACCGGAGATCTATATAGTAGCCGTAGCCTTTCTCAATTTTTTGTCTGTCGGCTCTTGGAGATGCCACTTCTGACTTCAAAGAAACTTCAACTAAAATGATGGCAAATGAGTGACCTCGTTGTCAGCACTGCCTAAGTCAGCTCCAACCCTCGCTCAGGGCGTCGCTGCTGCTGTCGCTCTCAGACTCTTCACCTGCAGAAGATTGAAGAAGCACAGCATCAACGACTTGCTTGGGAAAGGAATTCGCACGTTTCAGCAGCTGTCATTGTAGGGGGCATTGAAAGTCATCCGTTTTCATCTACTCTTTTCATCTACCAGGTGAATTTTGAAGATCCCTGGACTCACCCTCTGAGACTTTTTAAGACCAGACTTTGGAAAATCAAACGCCATCAAACTCCCAAGCATCTCTTGCTCCGAAAAAGTGTTGCTCCCCCGAATCTCACCTGAACTGTCTTCATCTGCCTGTGGGCCGGCCGGGCTGAAGGGAGGCGCTCAACTTTTGGCTGAGTTTGCTGCTGAGTTTGCGATTTGAAGTTTCAGCCGTCCACAATTTGCATTGAAGTCTTAATCTGCAGGCATTTCATCACTTGTCCTTCTCTGCTTGGAAAATGCTTCATCTGCCTGCTGTTTCTCCACGCTGCCAGCAGGCAGGGCCAACGGGATCCCATCAACCTCAGCACACTGGCACGATGGCAGTGGCAAAGACCAAAAAACTGACAGAGAGGGAATAAAACACCTGTCATTGAGTCTTCACAGTAAATATAGTTATATAGATATATATATATAGATAGATGGAATTCCAAGTAGGTCATTGGTGCTTAGTGGGAACAAAACACCTGCCATCATAAAATAAGAACGCTCAGGCTCAATGGCGTCTTTGCTATCATGTATCTGTCATGTGAGTCATCATGTTTTGCATATTTGTTGCCACATCTGAGGCTGAAAACGAACAGATGTTCGAGAATGATGCAGTTCAACCCTATTTCCCCATTCAATGTCCCAGGTTTCCAGGCAGCCAGTGGCTTCAAAGGCCATGACCTGAAGAGCAAAGAAGTGGTGGAGGCTCCCCAGTGTCCCTAAGCATTTCTACAAATGATTTCTGGCTGACAAAGTGGCTTAACCCTGGTTCATAGGGATTCCTGCCTGGCTTACAGTGACCCATTTATAACTGGCTGATAATTATAATCTCACTTGCTAACCAGTTACTTGGATTTGCTTAAGGAAGCCCAACCAAAAATCGATTCCCCAAGTATTGGGTTTCCCATCGGATCAACTCAGCAGCACTCCATCAGATATTTCCAGCTCTTAACCCATGGAAAATCCATGGAAAATCCATCATTTGGTTCGTTGATTTGGCTATAAAATGCTATAAAATGCTATAAAAAATGCTACAAAGAACCTCCATTCATCTTGGATCTTTCGAGATTTGCAGCCTGGGTTCCCCAGCGCTCCCTTCGCGCGGCGCTGGGCATCCTTCACCTCATCCTCTGAGAAGCCCTGGGAAATCAGGGCTTCACCGATAACCAGGGATCAACATGGGGAGATATTGGAAAATCTGTGGTTGAAACATACACCATTGGGATTTCACCACCAAAGAAGTGAATTTGAGATTAATTACTTGACCAAAGGACATTGATTTGGCAGTGGGTCAAAACCTTGTACCCCTTTTTTGTTCACATCAAAATAGCTGGGTTCAAATGGATGTGAATAACCCCACTAAAAATGGTATTAATATAGGTATTGATCCATAGCCATATTGGAAAATCACCTATAGAATCGGATTTTAAGATGGATGTTAATGTGGGTGTTATGAATTTATCTTGTTTGATCATGGGAAGCAACTAGAGGTTGCCTGGTTGGTGTTGTTAACCTATCCCAAACATATGCTCGTCATCTCAACCACGCCCAGTCATCCCACTAATTGGTTGAAAAACAATACATACCCTCTGGTAAACTAACATCGCTATGGAAAATGGCCATTTATAGTTGATTTACCCATTAAAAATGATGTGTTTCCATAGTTTTTTGTATGTTTACCGGAGGGTAAACATAAAACCCCCCGACCAATGGTTTCTTTTTGGCTTCAGTACCAGCACTGCTATTTGAAACCCCGGCAAGGTCATCCACCGCCTTCGCAAGCAAGAACTGCTTTTGAACTTCCCAGTCACCTTTGCTGCCACCAGACACCCCGAAGTAGTCGGGGTGCAACACTCATCATGTCCTGCAAATGTTTCCTTAAAAGAACCCATTGATCCTAGAATCTTTGCAACGTGTAAGGTTTAAACAAAACACTTGGCAGTCACAGTGTTTGGCTGCGAGAATCATAAATACAGTTTGCAGGCTTCTACATCGTCTCTGAATCTAAACGAAAGAACGGGGCAAGGCTACTCACACCAAGTTTGCCTTCCTAATTCTGGCCGGCCAATATCGACACTACCAAAACACTGTTTCCACAACTTCCGTCATTTTGAGATGAAGCCATATGCTTTCAGGTTTTGATTCACTTTTGACTGGGATCAGTAGAGTCGTGTCACTAGAGCAATCATACCAGGTGTGCCAAGAATCTAGATTGATCGGTTCATGATCAAACACCCTCAATCCACTAGTTGATGATTTCCCCATATTTCCCCAATAAAATTGCAATTTGGTGGTGCCGGCCGTTTTTGGTTCCAAACTGACATGGGTTTTCAAAAATGGGGTCCCAATAGACCCCACGACGAAACTTGCCATTTGTGCTATTAGACCGTCCAAGGGGGGTCCAATCCTATTGACCCATACTGGGCTTGATATGGCCCGGTGAGGTATAGCAATAATCAATCGTTACCTACCTCTTGGTATTAAAGAGGGGTTAATCTGGGTTAATTCCGTTCATCAAACAACTCGTAGCAAAAGTACATCTATGGTTTCCACCATATTACTGTAGCCAAAATAGAATGGATAAATAGCCCCTGCTCCATTAAATATTGCCAATCACTGCCTATCTTAAATACCCCTTGAAAAAATGTGAAAAAAAAAACATAGTATAGATTCCCATGTAAGCAAAAAATTAAATTCTAAACCAGTCATCTAAGAAATTTCCATCCTCCCATTCCATAGCTGGTCCGAACGTCACTGGGGCCCCAACTCTTCCGGGCTGTTGGGTGTGTGAGGAAGCTGGCAGCCAAGTCCAACTTGGCGTTGTGGGGAGGTTGTTCAGCCCAGAGGAACTCATCCAGAATCCCAAAATGTACTTTAATTCATTCAAGTTCAATATCTTTTAATATCTTTTAATATCTTTCTGATGACAATGACGATGATCTTATAAAATCACTGGGTTGGTTTCAGGACTAGTTTCTTTACATGTTCTACCACAGTTCTTTACTGGACTAGTTTCAGGACTAGTTTCTTTGCTGGTTTCAGGACTAGTTTCTTAGGTAAAGGGTTTTCCTGCAGTTTTTTCCTCATATCGTTTTGGGAAGGTTTGACTAAGCCAAAGTTCACCAAAGTAGTATTTTTGAATGATGATGACGACGATGATGACGATGATGATGACGATGACGACGATGACGATGATGACGATGATCATGACGATGACGACGATGACGATGATGATGACTATGACAACGGTGACGATGATGACGATGATGATGACGACGATGACGATGGCGATGATGACGATAATGACGATAATGACGATGATGATGATGATGAGGAGGAGGAGGAGGTCATGATGCTCATGATGCTGATGATGCTGATGATCGTGATGTGATGTCATGAACATGAGCATAACGATCATTATATTAACATATACTACATTATACTTTTATGTGCTGATGTAGTAATGCTGAACACTAAACCATAGATCAGGTGTATATATATATATATATTAGTATATTTGACTAATTAGATTTGCATGTGTATAATATATATATATACGTGTGTGTGTGTGTGATTACAAGTGTACGGACTAAATACACCCACATATTCGCACCTGACATCATGCAACCTGGTGCCTGGATGGGGGTTGTGCAGCTTTCACTGGGCTGATTCAAGCGACTTTTCCCGGCAAGGATGAATTTAACTAACAGCAAACCACAGTTTTGACTTGAAGATTTGACCATCTTAAACCACATGTTTCAAAAATAGCGTGGATTCTCCATATTTTGACCCCTCGTTTTTCCAGATCCCGGGAATCCCTGGGCCCTGGCCCGCATGCTCCACTCGCCGGGCAAGCTGGAGATGGCCTGTGTTTCAGTAGGATTCGACTTGTCCTTTTGGCATCTTTTGGCTGTGAATAATATAGATCTGAGTGGGGATCTATAGAGTATTCAGACAATGATCGACAAAAAATCATGATGTTGTGGTATTATGATTTATGATAGATTCTCTGATAGGTGTTGATTTTATAGATTGATTGATACAATGTGGGGGGGGTCTTTACCCGGACGGTGCGGCTCCCAAAAAAAAGCGCGGCTCTTTGTTGTCACATAGGGGCCTCATCTCCCAAGGCGTGAAATCACCATGGCCTAATAGCCATCACCACAACTGTACCCCCAAGTACTCCATCTGCCACATGAATCGCACTTCGGAGGGTATCATGGGGTTTCACCATGTTTCACCTGTGGCGTTTCCCAAGGGCCAGACCATTGAAAAGTCGTGGCGTTTCCAGCACACATGGCCCACATGGCCCAGTTGGCAGCCCAGGTTTTTTCACAAACTGGGTATCCGGGTATCCTATGGGTATCCTGATGTCTTTTTTGGCGTAACCTCGGAGCGGAGAAAAAAGAAACACACATGGTTATGGTTCCTGGATGTTCCTCCATGGTTCCTACATCGCAGTCCATCATCAAAATCCGATCC